CCGGGGCAATGTCTCCAGCATTTCAGTGGTACCAATTTTCTTATCTCAACGACACGATTTTGAACGAACTGCTTCCATTCTTGGGTTTCACCAAGGATCCAGTACAGTGCTACCTTAGAATCAGTCCAACAGGTTGGATCATCAAGCTTTAGGGTTTCGTTCAGAGCACTTGTAACGGTTGAAATAAGTCTTGCTAGTATGACTGCTGAGAGAAGTTCTAATCTTGGAATGGTTTGTTTGTTAATTGGAGAGACTCTTGTTTTGGCAATAACAAATCTTATAAACGTTCCCAATGAGGTAGTCATTTTCAGATAAACAACAGCTCCATAGGCTTTAAGGGATGCGTCGCAAAATCCTTGGAGGCTGTAAGAAAGAACCTTTTCTTCGATTCCCCCTTGATAACATCTCGGTATCAGGGTCGATTCTATATTTTCCAGGTCTAGGATAAGATGCTCCCACTTCTTCTTTAGTTCGCTTGATAATTCTTCGTCCCATTCAACTTTAGATTGGCATAGCTCCTGAAAAAACATCTTTAATTTAACTGTTATGGGTGCGAGAACTCCCAACGGGTCATAGAAACGGGATATGATACCAATGACATTTCGCTTCGTAGGCTCAAGTTCTCGAGCTGCTTGCACAATTCGCTGAAAATTGAAGATGAATGTGTCATTTACATAGTTCCACCGAATTCCCAGGATCTTCTCTTCCCTTTCCAACGGTAATTCTTGGGGATTACCCACTGTTGACTTGCAATATGACTTATCCTCTGTACAGACATCGTTGACCACATCTGTCGTTGACTGACCGATGGTAGGGTTTTCTTCATTTTGCCGTATTCTTTGCATTAGGGTAGGAGAATTAGATAGAAACTTGCGAAGATTGAATCCGCCTTCACTTAGTCGTTGTTTTGATTTAATATACAGTTCATAGGCTGCGTTGTCATCCTTGGCTCCAGAACTTAAATCATCCACGTAAATGCCACTCAGAAACTTTTGTACAAACTCCGGGTCTTCTTCCTGATATTTCTCAATGTGATGTTTGATTGTCCCATTCAACAAAAATGGACTGGCCGTCACCCCGAATACTACACGCGTAAATCGATATATCATAATCTTTGGGTCATCCTTAGTAATATCGTCAACCCATAGAAATCTCAAGACGTCTCGATCTTCCTTTGCAATGGCAATCATCAAAAACGCTTTTTCAATGTCTCCGACCAATGCTGTTGGATGACACCTGAATCTCAGCAAAATGTCTACAATATTCTCAGCAAGTGATGGGCCAGAGTATAGGCAATCATTAAGAGAGGGGCCCTCGGATTTCGCAGAGGCATCGTAGACTATCCGCAATTTTGTTGTTTTCTTGTCGCGACGGATGATGGCATGGTGTGGTAAGTAATGGACACGACTTGCATTGGTGGTGGATGTTTCATCAACTCTTTCTATGATTCCTCTAGCTATCTGCTCCTGAATAATGTTGTTGTATTCCTTCAGGGTTTTAGGATCTTGTCGGAGTCTCCTTAGGAGGGATTCTAGTCTCCTTAGACTAAGCTGGTAGTTATCTGGTATGGTGACTTGGTTATCTTTCCATGGTAGGTGAACTTCATATCGACCATCTCGGTGTTTCACAGTACTTAGAAACTCTTCGTAAACAGAATGCTCGTCAGGACTGATACCAAGTGATTCCAATTCCCAAAAACGTTTGAGGTTAGTTTCAATTGTTGCTTCTGGGGAAGGGGTGAGTTGGGTAGAACATCGTAACACATGGGTAGATGCAATGTTGACATTGGAATGAGAATCGGGTGGTGCCCCTTTCACTGGACCAGACAAAACCCAGCCGAGCTTGGTATGCATTGCTGTAGGACCATCGTTTCCATGGATTACATGACCGGTGACCAACTGCCAATAATAATCGCTTCCAATCAGTATATCCAAATCGAATTCTTCTCCATCGTTTGCTGAGTCAGCAAGAGTTAGACCAGAAAGATGTTCATAGGATTGTTGGGCAAATCTTGTATTTTGGTTTCCGATTGTGGAGCATATCAATGGAACAACATAAGCCGATAGGTTTAACTTATGTCCTCTCTCGGTGTCCAACTGAAATTGAACCATATCACAGGAGGTAATATCTTCATCCTTAGAACCAAAGGCATTAATCTTGAGGGTATCTCGTCTTACTATAGGGAGATTCAGCTTGTCTCTTATTGTGGAAGTTATGTATGATCTTTGGCTTCCACTGTCAAATATAAGTCTTGCCTGCAACGTCTTACTAGGATCCTTTGGGTTGTAAATGGGGGCTCTTGCGGTTTGTAAAAGAATCGAGGACTGTGCATCGACAAACATATTGACATGGGTGTTCTGAGGTTGTTCTCTACTTTGGTTTGTGGGTTGGTGACCTTGGGGTTGCATGCGTGGGTGTTCTTCAGAGGGGGTTGGTTGGTGGGATGCTTCTTGTTCTGGTGGGTTAGGTTTCACCTTAGAATTGGATGGACAGATACTAATGTGATGACGCTTATCACATTTAAAACATTTTATTTTAGATTTGCACTCTCTGGCAACATGATTCTTTCTAAGGCATATATAACATCTTCCAGACCGTTTCAAAATTTCCTTTCTCTCATTTCTGTCAGTCACGGTACTACAGCTATTTGAAGGGTGGGGTTGTTAACAGTAGGTGCATGTTGGACTTCCTCCAGTAGTAAACAAAGATGATGCAGATGGGATCTTAGGTTTATACGGTGGCTTAGATGGGGGATCCCTTGAACTGCCGGGTAAGAGACTTGCCCTCTCTCGAGCCTCCAGTTCCCCTAAAGATTTTGATCAGTTCATCTAGATCCCAATCTTCTTTGAGCTGCTTTGTAGCTTCTAAACGCAGCTCTTTAGGCAACTTATCAATTAAAATAGGTGTTAACAGACTACCATATGAACCAGAGTCAACTTCAAGTGATTTCAATCCCCTCATATGGCTCTCTACTTTATCATGTAATTGCCTGAGAGCCTTTAAGTCGTCTACATTAGTCACCTTGGGCAGGTTTAATAAAGCATTCATGTGGGCATTGACAATTTGTTGCTGATTACCAAATCTTTTGTCTAAGATATCTATTGCCTCTTGGTAGTTTGCTGAAGTTATTTTTAAACCCGATATTGCTTCAGCAGCAGATTTTTCCAACAGACTATGCAAATAATTGAATTTATCTATACCGGATAAATTAGGATTTTCATGAATGGAAGAAGAATATGAATCCCAAAATGGAGTCCACTCCATTATGTTCCCATTAAAATGTTTTAGTTCTAATTTTGGTAATCTTACCGTACTGTTAGATGTGTGTGGTACTGTTGCTTGCGACAGAGAACTTTCCAGATTCGATGGTGAAGATCCACTGTCTTTATTCCATTTTTTCTTCAGTTTTTCCAAAATTAAATCAATGTGAACAATTGCCCTTTGAATAGCTTGACGTATGTCATCAGCACTGGCAACCTCATCCTCAATATTTCCGTCCTCAACCAAAAGAATAATCTTGTCGTCAAAACTCTTTAGAAGTGGTAATTTCTCGCCCAAAATCACACGTTGTTGGGTAAGTTTTATTTCAAAGTCACTTGCCTGTGTTTCTTCAAATATTTCCGTAGATTGCGTTAAGAGTTCCTCTGTTACAGCTAATGTTTTCGTAAGACTGGCTCGATGGCCTCCGCGTATTTTTACTAATTTCTTCAATTCCTCAGCCATTATTCGTTGTATATCCGACTCCGAAGGACCATGTAAGAGAATTTAGGTTCAAAAGGCTCCAAATAGTTTATAATACTTATTTTATTAACATATATACAACAAATTCATGAGGAATATTTACGAAAACTATCATAATGGCGGCTGTTCAATTCATAACGACGTGTTTCTCGCAACGCGTGGCTTCTCGCGTGTTCTCGCGTGTTCTACACTTAGATTACGGTGAAAACATACAAAAATACGTCACAGGACGTATTAAATTAAAATGAATTATACACCAATTTTTAATGCTTCAGATATTTATGGGGTTTTCTACTGGGTCAAGGAAATTATCGACAAGCAGAATTCAAATACAAAAAATAATGAAAAATGAAAAAATCCCGCTCCAAATTTTTGAAAATTGTGGACGAGAAACATGATATCAATTTTCATTGGCCTGATCTGAAGTTATTATGCAACTGACAACAATATTATATCTCAAAATACCTGTATATGATGATATTTTACAAATATATCAGGATTTTTGGACCAATTTTAAACTTAGCAAGGCAAAAAGTCTCCATTCAAGAATATATCTTCTTCTCAAAATGTAAAATACTTAGAATACTTGATTAAATTGTTTACTTCGACGGTATGTAAATTAACAGCGTTTGCTTGCAAGACGTCAAAAACGGACGATTTCAGCGCGCTGTCGTTTATCGCGTATTCATTTGCCCAAAGAAGTATTTACGTCAATTGAAAGCTTGTTTATTAAAGAGCCAACTAGTAGAAGCATGATCGATTTGAAGCTTTATCCCATAGTGAAAATCGGTTTTGTTAAGAGGGTATCGTAAATGAAGTAAGATAGTGTGCTCCAAAACTACGATTATTTCTATTCCTAAAAGTAACTCAGATTTCTTGTAAGTCACGTACCCGATCATTTGAATAACCGAAAACAGGATTTTTAGGGTTTTAGATCGGTAAAATCAACGCATATTTTCCCAGACAAAATGGCGATTTAGGGTGGTCGTGTTAAAACGGCATTTTCTCAAAGTTAAAAAAGCATTTGGCCTAAAAAGATATATGGTGCATTTTCCGATATAATAAGGTATATCTGGGCAAAATTTGAGCAAAATCGATTTTTCAGTCGTGGCCGCGAAATATCTCATATCTTCGATTTTTACTGACATTCACTCTTAAGATCGAAATCTGACGAGAAAATCTTATTTACAACAATATATTCTTGTGAACAGAGCAAAACACTTATAGCCTGCCTAAACAAGCCAGCCCGAGTCATTGCGTTTGTATGGAAATTTTCCAGCCTGGGCACCCTTAAACCAGGCCAGCTTGGGTACCCGGGCTGGCTCGCCTCATCTCTCATAAGGGCAGTTGATATGTTTTAATCTGATCATGCAGCCAAACACATCTCCAATTACACAGTACAGCTCAAGTTGTAAGCACGTTGCATGCAACAGTTTTAAGCCAGGTTTCCATATATGGTTGCAACAGTCATAAAGGTAAAGTTACGATCTTTCTCATCGGCCAGATTATAATAGTTTTTACCTGTAAACCACATTTAAATCATAGATATTCTTTATGTATTATCACTCTGCCTATTTTCAGTTGTATTTCGGCTGTTGAAAAAGATCGTGACTCAATCTTTACGACCGTTACGACCATAAGGAAACCAGGCTTTGGGCAAAAGTTGTGTAGTGTAAATTGGCCTTCGACACATGATGCAACATCCAAACATTTTAGTTATACACTTGACAATAATTTATCCAATTTGAATTTTTCTGTGCTGGTGTAATGTACTCAGGTGAATATGATTATTTGTGATGTTACTCTGAGTGCATATCCACACCGGGCAAGCTTGAAAAATATGCCTGGCCACGTTGGGAATTCCAATTTGCTTCTGATTTTTTGCTTGGGACTATATAATAAACCGAACATTACACAGTGGCTTGAAGATACGACTGTTATCTTCTCGTGTTAAAAACAATATTTTACTCACTCGCTGCGCTCGTTCGTAAAATATTGTTTTCACCACTCTATAAAATAATAAAAGTCATTTATTTTTTTGTAAATCAGCAGCGGGCGGAATCCTAGCGTTTTCTGCAATCTGATTGGCTGCGGCAGCGGGCGGAATTTTACGATATTTGACCACGGTCCGGAATCCTATACGTAATGGCCGAAGCAAAGCAAAAAATTTTTGTATGTTTGTTTTAAAACTGAAAAATATGAATATGTAATTTTGAAATAATTTTAATGATGGATAAAATAATTGTACTGTATTTTAATTGAATTGTTTGTTTTCTAAAGTAAAATAATTAAATATCAAAATTGTTTTATTGTTTTGTTTTCTATATGCGCAATCTAATAAAACCGTTGCCATTCGCCTCTGAGGCTTTGACAAAAAAATAAATACGTTATTTACCGTTTAGGTCCGTCCGGATAGAAAAATATTTTGTCTCGGAGACCTCGACAAAATATTTTTCTATCCGGACCTCCCAGCCGGTAAATAACATATATATCTTCGCGCCGCCGTGTAATATCCTCTATATATCAGCTAATATTGGGCCTAAAATATATAAAGAACCAATAGAGACACCGTCTTTCTCCTCGTAAGATGTTTAATGCAGTCGTGTGAATTCTTATTTATTCCCTTTCTTTTATCCTGTTGTTCGTTTGTCGTTATAATGCCACGGGCATGGCGGAGGGATTGGTAATCCTGAAAGACGTCTCATCAGCGAAGTCTTTCCGCCTCAGCCTTGCCCGATCAGCATAATCGGAATTGGTTTATTTTTTGCTTTACCTTTTAAGAGAGCTTCATCTTGACGTCTTTGCTCTTGAGAAAATAAAGTTAAAACAATATTTAGCACTACGTAAAATGAAATATAACATCCATCAAATGGCCCTCTATAAAGCGTTCTCCCCTCAACCAAGCGCCCTGCCCTAAACGTGTAAGAATATTTTTTTTAAGTTTCTAAAACAAAAATTTCGAATTATTGCATAAAACATCACTCTGTATGTTCATTGTAGATTTGTAGTTCCATATCTACTATTTTAAAAGGATTAAGGTCACGTGACCTCTTAGTGCAAGTGCCTACCGTTAATTGGCCCCTATAAATTTCACTTAGGGTTCTGTTCAGCCTAGTCCCAGTCGTTCTGAAGCAAGCGCGAGAAAAAACGTGGATGTAGTACGAGACTAGGACCTAGGTGTGACGTCACCGCTAAAGGTGCTGCAGAACGCCTAGCAGATTTCAGTATTTTTAATATGGCGGAAAATTTATATATACAAATAACCTTGTAAATACGACAATGTTCGTTGATCATATTCGATGTCTACATAACCAAATTCAAACTGTATTAAAAATGTGCTCAATTAAAAAAAATTATATACAAATTTACGATACTAAGTCTGAGCAATGGTCGTATAATCGTTGATGTTATTTATATATTTGCAAGTTGTGATCAACACTAGACCATACTGGTATACACAAATACGCTTTCAACTTGACACGTTTAAGTAGCTGAGGAGATTGGAAATATTTGCCTGACATGACTGTGTTGTCAAAACATTTCTAGTCGGAGACTCGGCATAATTTCCAAGCTGCTAGATAGCATTTAATATGGCTTTATATTTTAGTGAACACGAGTCATATTTAGCCCGTTATTCCATTCTGACCGTATGGCAGCGAAACGTAGCCTATTTCATTGTTCCGACAGCATTAGAGCAAAACTAATGACTTAATTATAAACGCATAGGAAATTTCCGTAACATTTTCTATTTACAAATGTGGTATGCTTGGTAACCAGGCCAGGGACCACTTTTTTGAAATCAGGGACCATTTTACCGAAATCTGCTAGGCTCTCTCGCTGAAGCGTTCCGCACAGCACACCCAGGCATAAAACTTTTAAGACTTATTTAAATATATCAAAGCAGCGAATAGAGAGAGCCTGGGACTAGGCTGGGTTCTGTTGTAATTATCTTGCCTAGATAGCGTAGCCTGAACTAAATTTTGGGTAGACGATATCATCAGGTTGTTTTGTTCAAGATACCTTTACAGGCCCAGTGGCAGTGCACACACTATACGAGTTTCGAACCCTGGGAACGCAAGACTGCACAAATTAACGTACTTTTCCATCGGACCTCCAAAAATATGCACCAACACCACTTTATTCAAGAAATAGATTTCGAAAATTACTCCTGCATGCCCTGGAAAGGCTTTCCTGTTGCTAGAAGAAAATCGCTCATAAAGATGCATGCTAATACGTAAATATTCTTCGAATCTTGATCGGGTTTTTACGGAAAACGTTAATGCCGGACTCGCAAATTTTAAAATGAAGAAATGTATTAAACCATCGGGAAAAAGTATCAACCGTAGATTTAAAATATGGTCGAGTGCATGTCCTCAGCATCACGACGGTAGAATTCAATGCCTTCAGTGGACTTATATATGTACTTTTTATTTTATTTTATTTTGTTTTATTAGACTCAGTGTCAGCCACTGCCTCAAGTGTTGGGCTGATAGCCCCAAGAAGATTTCCAAATAGACTGCAAGGGTATAGGGTGAAATTTTAAAATTGACGGAAATAGTCGTTTGCATCTACAGGGCTGTTTATATGAAGGAAGCTAGCTTGGGTTCCCCCCAGTTAACCGAAGTAGTTCGCTTTGTTGAGACTGTGTTTACACATGAGACTTTTGAGGCGGGCTGGCTCACCAAAACAAACCACAGGGCTCACTGCTATAAAATAGTATAATACAAATATATTTTCTCAAAAACCAAAAATTGGCACTTTTGCGAGCAACTTCACGGTTACTGTATAACCCACAGAATCGTTCACAGAGACCTTTTAAGATCGAAATCTGACGAGAAACTCTTATTTACAACAAAATATTCTTGTGAACGGAGCAATAACACTTAGCTTGCTTAAGCAAGCCAGCCGGGGTCATTGCGTTTGTATGGAAAATTCCCCAGCCTGGGCATCCCAGATCTCGGGTCAGTCGAGGCTGGATCTCCTTTATGCTGGCCAGCCCGGTTCCCAACGCTAAGTCAAATGAAGTATTACAACAACAAATGCTCGATTTCGCCTAAACCAGGCCAGCTTGGGCACTGGCTCGCCTCATCTCTCATAAAGGCATTTGATGTTTTAATCAAATATAATTTAATATGATCATGCATCAAATTTAATATAATCATGCAGCCAAACATATCTCCAATTACACAGTACAACTCAAGTTGTAAGCACGTTGCATGCAACAGTTTTAAGCCAGGTTTCCATATATGGTTGTAACGGTCATAAAGGTAAAGTTACAATCTTTCTCATCGGCCAGATTATAATAGTTTTTACCTGTAACCACATTTAAATCATAGATATTATCTATATATTATCACTCTGCAGTCTGCCTATTTTCAGTTGTATTTCGGCTGTTGAAAAAAATCGTGACTCAATCTTTACAACCGTTGCGACCATATGGAAACCAGGCTTTGGGCAAAAGTTGTATAGTGTAAATTGGCCTTCGACACATGATGCAACACCCAAAAATTTTAGTTATACACTTGACAATATTTAGCTTAATTCATATAAAATTGAAAGACCTTTATTCGACGTCTATATATCGATTGTCCATTCTTAGCAGGATAAAAGCAGAAACAAAGCAAAAGCAACAGCTAAAGTCTCATTGCACAACATGCTTAATTGTTTACTTCCCAGGTTGGAAAACTTGTATCAAATTCCTAGGTGTAGCTGCGAGTGATCTGGATTGATCAGTTGCGAGTTGCGAGTGGACCTATAATCTGATGCGAGCTGCGAGCAAATTTAACCAAATTAGCCATCAAGCCCTACAAAACGTTAAATATGTATTTTAGTCTAAAAGAAATTTGATATGAAGAACATTCCATCATTGGATATTTGATCTAACTTATCTCTAATATTTAACATTCAAAATTACTGTAAGAAATGGCTGGAAACGCACTTTCAGGGCTCGCAAAACCAAACATAACCTCCATCAAATGGCCCTCTGTAAAGCGTTCTCCCCTCTACCAAGCGCCCTGCCCTAAACGTATAAGAAATTCTTTTCGGGCCTCCAAAATATGCACCAACACCACTTTATTCAACAAATAGACTTCGAAAGTTACTCCTGCACGCCCTGGAAAGGCTTTCCTTTTGCTAGAAGAAAATCTCTTATAAAGAAGCTAAAACGTAAACATTTTTCGAATGCTGATCGGATTTTTACGGAAAACATCAATGCCGGACTCGCACATTTTAAAATCAAGAAATGTATTGAACCATCGGGAAAAAGTATCAACCGCAAATTTAAAATATGGTCGAGTGTCCTCAGCACGACAACGGTAAAATTTAATAATGCTGGACTTATATATAACTATATCAGCTAATATTGGGCCTAAAGAGGAACCAATAGAGACGCTGTCTATCTCCTCGTAGGATGTTTAATGCAGTTGTGTGAATTCTTATTTATTCCCTTTCTTTTATCCTGTTGTTTGTTGGTCGTTATAATGCCACGGGCGTGGCGGAGGGATTTAATGGTAATCCTAAAAGATGTCTGATCAAGGAAGTCTTTCCGCCTCAGCCTTGCCCCATCAACATCATCGGAATTCGATTATTGTTTCCTTTACCTTTTTCGAGAGCTTCCAAACGACGTAAAGCCTCGTAATTATCTTGACAAAATAAAGATAAAACAAGATTTAGCACTACGTAAAATGAAATATAACCTCCGTCAAATGGCCCTCTATAAAGCCCCCCCCCCCCTACCAAGCGCCCTGCCCTTAACGTGTTTTTTTTTTAAAGTTTTTAAAACAACAAATATGAATTTTTGCTTAAAACATCACTCTGTATGTTCATTGTAGATTTGTAGTTACGTGACCTCTTAGTGCAAGTTGCCTATCGTTAATTAGCCCCTTTTATTTTATTAGACACTAGGAGCGGCCACTCGCCACCTTACCCCCCCGTGTCCGCCACTGTCTCAGGTTTTGGGCTGATAGCCCCAAAATGATTACAAGGGTAGAGGGTGGAATTCTAAAGATTGAAGAAAATAGTCATTTGCATCTACAGGGCTGTTTATATGGAGGAAGCTAGGCCGGGTTCTCCAAGTTAGCTGAGGTAGCTCGCTTTGCTGAGTCTGTGTTTACACATGAGACTTTTGAGGAACAAGTGTTTACCAATTATTTGGCTGGTCGGCTCATAATAAAGTAATTTCAGTTAAGCGTGATATAGGTAAAAATTCACACACGTATAAATAGCTTAAAATGCCGGGTTGGGGAAACCATCCCTTATACCGTGGTGCAACTTTTTGCAGGTGTTAGAAGGTGACACGGTTCATTTTCCAGCCCCGAAAAATCAGATGAGCAAATATATTGTTCTCGAGCGAGACACGCCATTCCTTGCAACGTGTGACGCCCCACTTGATTTAATTAACAATGGATCTATTGATCACGTGAACACAGAAATGATGAATGTAAGATGGCGAATGTTTCCGCTCCATAGACATATTCAGCGTGATGAACAAAGAAACACTGCGCCTTGCGCTCGGTGCTTTGCTGAGTTAATATTATACGTTGAACAGTGATCTATAATGATGTGTTTTAATTTAACGTACATTAAGGTGTTAACAAATATGTATTCTGGACATCACTAACTAATTAGCTTATGACACGTCAACGAATCCCACACGAATCCCAGTCACATTTCATGTAGAAAAGGCGATTAAGTCCAACAATTCTTGCTCTTTTTCTCTCTTAGCTTATTGTACTTATGTCAAAGGAATTGATTATGTGGATAACTTCGAGCGAAATCAATTTGATTCAATAAAATTCCTATTTTCATCGACGATTCCCACTATTTATAGTATATTGAAATATGACATCATAATTAGTAAATGGAAAAGTGGGAATCGTCGACTATTAACCCATTTTCTCTGTCTTTTATAACGAAACGCGTGCGTATTTGAGGCCAAAGTATTAATTTATTCCTTATGCACGCAACTGTGCATTTAAATTCCCAACAACGATCATATACATGTGAGAAAATATAGAAATTATTACGCGAACAAGTGTGGGATTCGTTGATACGGAAATACGATATACAATCCGTTGCCGTCGTAACTTTCTCAGTATTTTATTCTAAAGCCGTCAGCCTGCCATACAGCGTGCATTCGCGTAGGCATTAGATTAGATTAGATTAGATTAGAGACTTTATTTCAAGAGGGTAACACTTGACATTAATAAAAATGATAAACCTGTGGCCCTCCATATTCCTAATTACAAAAATATACACCCAATGAACTATACTGAATAGACAATGCTAAATCTATTTACATTTAGTAGGTAATTATACTCAATTACTCATGCTATATTTACATTATACTAAGAATATTTAAGATAAAATAAGTCAAAGAGCAAGAAAAGATTCAAAAGTAAGCGTCTCTCGCTGCTTTGTTAAAAAGTATTTAAGAAAGTTTCTTTTAAAAATACTTGGACTATGACTTTTCTTTAAGTCACTGGTAATACTGTTCCAAGCCTTGATAGTCTTAACAGTAAACGTACGCCCTCCCTCAGTCTCTCTTTTGTATCTTGGGCAATTTAAATTTAGTTTCGAGTACCTAGTGTTCCTATTATGAATATCACAATTTCTTATAAGTAGATCGTTAATATCAGTCGGTGCTAATCCGTTTATTCGTTTATAAACTAAAGTACAGCGGTTTATGTGGGCCTCGATGTAGAATGGCAGCCAACCGAGCGTGTTAAACAGATCCACAGAACAGGCTCTACGATCAGCATCTAATATTACTCTTGCAGCTCGTTTTTGCAATTTGAGCACTCTTTATAGATCATCTTGTTTGCAGGAGCACCATACAGTACTACCATAGAGTAAAACAGGTTTGATTATTGCAGAGTAATATATCTCACGTTGTTTTTGTTTCAAATATGGACATATATGGCGAAGAAGACCAACGCGTTTCGATAACTTCTTGCATAGCTCATCGATTTGGGTGGTAAATGACAGGTCTTGATCCAAGCTAACACCGAGTAGTTTGTAACTGAGTACTTGTTCAATTACTGCGTCATTTAGTTTAGCATCTATAGAGATGGAAAAGGTGCTGGTGTTATTTCGAATGCGTTTACCAGCGATTAACATTGACTTTGTTTTTGACGTGTTTATAACCATGCCATTTTCATTACACCATCTCTCTAAGCAGATCAAATCTTGGTTTATCATTCGAGTTCATGCTTGTGATAATATTATTTATATAATCTACATAAATATTATATAAAGTTTTTATAACTCTATAGTCTTAAATTGTCTCCATACACACGCCCTCTAGGGGCTAAAGCGTCACTAAGAGGCTGTGTCTTATAAACAGAAGAAACCCGTCTGAATAGAAGGCAATATTTCGCCAGAAGAATCTGGGCTTTGTGGAAAGAATCTTCTTGCATTGTTTCACAAACGCCTTTCTTTTTGTGCGATCACGGCTTGTTAAAACCCCCTTTTTACGCGTAGGTAAATAATCAAATCCAGCTGCTTTCGCCTCACGATAAAATGTCCTATAGGAAATATGACGTGACAGCAGCCTGCTGTGCGCAACCAAGCGCTTAACGGTAAAATTTGGGTCTTTATCACGAAGAGTTTTTATTATTCTTATTAATTTTCTCCGATCTCTATCTGACAACGTCTTTGGTCTATCAATTTTCTTGCATGTTTTCAAATCTTGTTTGCGCTGAACTTTTCCTCTCAGATAAGAGAGACTGACGATTTAGATATTTTTGCTTTTTTAGCAATCGCTCAGCAGGAATATCGTTCCTCTTTGTCTAGAAATGGCACATATGCTCACGTTGTATCTGAAATAGTTGTTTTATAAGCCATTATTACTTGCTTTCTATATAACTACCTCTTATTTATAGCATGCATACTGTGCGCTTTATAATACTACAGCTTTGAGATTAATCCGAATGATGACGATGACGTTATATTCTCCACAAAAGTTACGTAACTAAGCACTTAAAGATAATTGCATTGGCTTCCGAACGTGTTTATACTAGCCCTAAATTCCAGATTGCTCTACTAGTTTCGCTTGCAGTTCCAAACTACGAAGTTCCCAAAGTTTGAGTAGTTCTGGAAACGTGCATAAACGCATTATGATTAAACTAGAATAATGACATACAATGTATGCGTAAATTAACCATGTATACGCTCGCCAAAACACGGCATCTAAAATATCTGTAAACACCATTGGTAATACTATAAAATACAAGTAATTCTAGCTTCAATAACTGAAATTTTAATTTGGCTTAGAATAACGTTTCTGACAATCAGTGACAAAACACTTCGGACAAAATAGCAAAAGAGCGCACATTTACAACATAATCGACCCCCCGTTCAATGTTGTGTGTGGAAATACCTGCGCAAAATGTTCCTTGCCAGCCACCCAACATGTTTAGGGTGGGGGAGAGAGGGATAGTGGTTTTATGCTGAACAGTATTTGGAAATGCGGAGATATGTATATATTATATCACTGTCCAAAAACCTTTTGTCACTGATTGTAGCTTAGGCTAGCCAGCTTGGTTCCCATATAAACGCCAAGTCAAATGTAGTAGGACATAATAACAAAATCAAGATTTCACCCAAACCAGGCCAGCTTGGGTACCCGGGCTGGCTTGCCCCATCTCGCATAAGGGCATTTGATTGTAAGCACGTTGCATGCAACAGTTTTAAGCCAGATTTCCATATATGGTTGTAATAGTCATAAAAGATAAAGTTACGATCTTTCTCATCGGCCAGATTATAATAGTTTTTACTTGTAAACCACATTTAAATCATGCATATTCTCTATATATTATCACTCTGCCTATTTTCAGTTGTATTTCAGCTGTTTAGAAAGATCGTGACTCTGGGCAAAAGTTGTGTAGTGTAAATTGGCCTTCAGACAAATAATGCATCACCCAGAAATTTTAGTTATACACTTGACTTTAGTTAGCTTAATTCACATAAAATTGAAAAACCTTTATTGGACGTCTATTGATTGTCCATTCTTAGCAGGATAAAAGCAGAAAGAAAACAAAAAACAACAGCTAAAGTCTGATTGCACAACATGCTTAATTGTTTACTTTTCAGGTTGAAAAACTTGTATCAAATTCCCTACGCGTAGCTGCGAGTGATTGATCAGTTGCGAGCTGCAAGTGGACCTATAATCTAATGCGAACTGCGAGGATGCAAATTTAACCAAAACCATCGTGTTAGAATAAAGGTTACTTCCAAAGGAAATTTTTTCGCGACGTTTTTACGATTATTTTACGATTATCGACGGTTTGTTTATAATATTAAAATCTTTTGTGAAATTAACTTTGAAACAAATGATAGCAATATTAATTTTATTTTATTATAACGACGTTTCGATGCATCATTTTCAAGTTAAAGATAAGAATTATTCGTATATAACGCGGACCGTTATAATTAAAGCTATTTTTAACTTGAAAATGATGCATGCAAGAAGCATCCAAACGTCGTTGTAATAAAATATAAATTATATCGCTATCATTTGTTTCAAAGTTGTTCTTAATAGCAAAGTCAAATTCAAGAAATTTTTCCATGTTGCGCTTTTAGGCAAAACTTAAACATTTTTGCTGTCATTTTTGCTGTCTGTAAAATTCCTTAAAAAGGCATTAACAAGTACCTAAGTAGTCAAAAACTACTCGCAACTTGTAAATTGTAGTTCGCTACAGCAGCGAAACGTAAAACGTAACAGAACGGCGAACATGCAGATTCGGCGATCTCAGATAATGGTAATGTTGGGATAGTAGCGTTGCATACTGCAGAGGAGAGGAGAGTGGGCAGTAAGGCTCCCTCATACACTATCCCCATGGAAAACCTGCACCCCTCTTTGCAGATGAGGCTAAATCCGCCCCTGCAAGTGGGTCCTACAGTCTAACTGGAAAGTTCACATCACGGATGGATCTGGCCTGATTTGTTAGAGGGGGTGGAGGTTTTCCAGAGGGGGTCCGGGGCATTCTCTCCCAGAAAAGTTTTGAAATTTGAAGCCCTGAAATGCAATTTCCTGCATTCTGAGCACTACGTTTATTCGTTAAATTTGTCCTCACAGTACTTGTATTTCGGGCAAAAATTAAGAAAAGTGCTGCGTTATATGGTGACCCGCCGTATTGGTGCTTGAATATTTTCTCGCGTATTCGAAAATCAATCGTTTCAATATAATAAGTAGTATTCACAACTCAAATATGGAATACCAAAGTTTTTAAGAGGGTGCTGAACACCAGCAGGGGGAAGGGGAGTGAGCACCCCACTGGTAGATCCGCCCCTGGTTCACATAACGAACAACCTCTTACAATTTTATAAATACCTGCATTTCTTAAACACTCGGCAATTTCTGTACGTTTGTGTCGCATTGCATTTTCATACGGAGTTTTACCGTATATGTTCAACGCATTGATGTTTGCACCATTTTTCAACAGCACCTAAACAAGAATTATACAGGATATCATTAATTGAAAAAAAAACAAACGAAATGTTTACCTAGTGGCTGGCTAGTTCACAAATCTGAGGCTGCCAAATTTAGATGATCAAAAATCTGAAAGTTATAATAGCAGTGATGCCAGAATGGGGGGAAGCATGATCATCATGTAATTAATTGGCACGCCCCATCCAGTGCCGCCGAGAGGGGGGGCAAGGCCGCAAGGGGGCACTCAGCTCAAAATCCCCTCCCCCCAAAATAAATTTATGTGGAAAAATTTATGATACGATTTATTGTGGAAAACGATTTTTTGAACTGGCATAAACCATTTTCATACCGTGATTACATTATACCTTGAGCTGCCCCAAAACCAGGAGACCATCGGAATTGGCAGCTCTGCAAATGTCATTACAAAAAACCAGGGATGCTGAAGAGGGGGTGCAGGGGAGGGACATTGCCTTTCCCAAGGGGGCAAAGATGCCCTTTTTGATATTTGGGAAATATTTGACATATTTAAAAAAAATTATTACATGTTTGCTTCACAAGGCGAAAATTACAAATTATGAACCCATTAAAAAGGGTTCTACACGCGTAAAAATCTCACATCTTGAGATCATCTGCCAACAAGCCGTCAACAAGTTGTGTTCGCACTGCTTGTCACAAGTTGTCAACAGGTTTGGAACAACTTGTTGACAACTTGTATCAATCTTGTCGAAATTAGCAGATTTGCTGCAAGGTTGTACTGACAAGTCCGTTACATGCTTGATATAACAAGATTGTTACAACCTTGTGTTGACAACCTTGTAACATCCTTGTTATATTACGGCTGTAACAAACTTGTTAGCACAGTCTTGTAACAAGGCTGATGATGCCATCAAGCTTGTTACAAGTTGTTAACAGCTTGTTTCAAACTTGTTATAACAAACTAGGAACAAGCAGTGCGAACACAACTTGTTGACAGCTTGTGAACAGACTTGTAACAACTTGTTTGCAGACTTGTTACAAGCTGTGTCCCCCACACACACACACACACACACACACACCCCCCCCCCCCCCCCCACACACACACACACACACACACACACACATCGTTCCACCATCCCTGAAAAAACTGAATTTTCAGCGGCATTATCTCTTTGCCTATTTCAACCCAAAATTGCGAGGATTAACTGAGCTGCTGAAGATTGACTATCTCACGAGAGAAACAAACCTTAATTAATTTCACAGAACGCAGAGATGCAGCTTCATGCAATGGTGTATCACCATACTTGTTCACCGCGTCCACACTGGCACCATGGTTAAGCAACTGTTGTAAGATATCAACATGACGCCAATATGCAGCTTTGTGCAATGGTGTATCACCATCATTGTTCCCCGCGTTCATACTAGCACCATGGTTAAGCAACAGTTGTAAGATATCAACATGACCGTGAGATGCAGCGTGGTGCAATGGTGTATCACAATTATTGTTCACCGCGTTCACATTGGCGCCATGGTTAAGCAACAGTTGTAAGATATCATCATGACCGTAAAATGCAGCGTTGTGCAATGGTGTATCACAATTATTGTTCACCGCGTTCACATTGGCACCATGGTTAAGCAACAGTTGTAAGATATCAACATGACCCCGAAATGCAGCTTCGTGCAATGGTGTATCACCATCATTGTTCACCGCGTTCACATTGGCACCATGGTTAAGCAACAGTTGTAAGATATCAACATGACCCACACGTGTAGCTACTACGTGCAATGGAGTATCACCCTTTTTGTTCACCGCGTTCACACTGGCACCATAGTTGAGCAACACTTGTAAGATATCACCATGACCATTATATGCAGCTTTATGCAATGGTGTATCACCCTTTTTGTTCACCGCGTTCACACTGGCACCATAGTTAAGCAACAGTTGTAAGATATTATGATCCCGATATGCAGCTTTATGCAATGGTGTATCACCCACCTCGTCCACCACGTTCACACTGGCACCATGGTTAAGCAACAGTTGTACGATACCAACATGATTCACATATGTAGCTGCGTACAATGGAGTGTAGCCAAAGGGAGTGAAATGTTGATCCAACCTGTTGATGATATCTGAGTCATTTTGCAAGATCACTCGTACTTTGTGAAGATCCCCGTTTCTACATGCATCGTACAGACGTTCATCTTGTCTTCTTGACATTCCTTGGTTTAAACCTTGCTAGAATTTATTAGCATAGTATAACATTTGCAGAAGCATCCTCTGAAAAGTTCCTAACGAAACAGAGCTAGTAATAAGTAGGGATGTGTCGGAGCCAGATACCGGTATCCTGCAAAATATAGGCATCCGTCACCATATAGTAAAATAAACTTTTATCACAGCCCCAGATATCTGTTATAAAATTAATGCACTTTGAATAAATTAGTTCATTTTTATAATTTGTTTAAAATAATAAAAATAGGTACGCAGTGCGTACATGTTGCATGTCTCAGTAACTTAAGGCCGCGGATTTCCATTCAGTGCAAAATATCGCGAGATCAACTGTTTGCGATCACTTTCGTTTGAAATGCGTTCAGTCAACCTGATCCGCTGCGTGTGATTGCTTGTATTTCAAAAGAAAGTGACCGCAAAATGTCGATCGCGCGACATTTTGCACTGAATGGAAATCTGCCTTTATGGTGCGCATGCGCTTATAAATTTTGATACAACTTGCCTGAAACTTAAAGTATTGATTCAATAAGTTTAATATCAATACATTTATTGAAAAATATCTATTATGTCAAAATAAGAAAACTTAAGATTCTCACACGAATAGGCAATGTTTTTTATGAGCGACTGTTCATCTGTAGTTGCAAGGGACGGTAATAACAAGGTCAACTGGTCAATGTTTTATCACTTATTGACTATTTGAAGTAAACAATGTTATTTCCTGCAAATTTAAACAAATTTAGCTTTATTGTGGCTTTTTGAAGGTACTACAAAAACACGTGGAAATGTTGAATTGAAAATAATTATCAAACTATGATCTCGAGTAGAGTATGCTATTTCGTTGTATTAAATTTTAATGAGAATTTTGTTCAATTTGAGCATATAAAAAATGAATATTTTGATAGCGTGGCCTTTCACGATATATAAATTTTAAAAACTCATTAATAATTGATGAGGAAAAGACGAGAAAAATAATTGATGAGGAAATCACTGCCGTGTCGGTGGTTTTATATGTGATAAAAAATCATGTTCATATAAACTTTAGCTTTGATTTTCTCGCCTTAGACAACGTTGATTTTTAAAATTACTTCGCCAATGAACTCATGATGGTTCGCTTTCTAAGCCATTTAAAACACTCGCAGTTCGTGCTTTATCAGATATAAAACACTCGAGCTGGGTTCTCCTGTTTTATATCTGATAAAGCACTTCTGCTCGTGTTTTAAATGGTACATAAACGCCTGATAATTGATAAATAATCAGTGCGAGCACAACGGCTCCAAAATAGATAGATGTAGATAGATAGATAGATGTTTTATTAAAACTACTTTGCAGCTGAAGCTGAATTGCGTAGATGTTTACGTAATATGTACAAGAATGGTGTAGGTTATATAAATATTTACAATTGGTGACAGGATACAAGGTGCAAATGACATTATTTACTATTTAACATATGTGGTATAAAAGTGTTCTTGAAACGCTTAGTACGTGCTAAAAGAGAACTAAATGAACGTTTGTGTCTCAGATTATATGTCTGCTTCTTCTTTGGGGGTAAAAGTTTATAAAGTTTGTGATCTGAGTTTGATGTTATCGAATCAAACAGCTTCAAACATAACATTTGCCTTCGATTGACTAAAGTTTCTAGCCCAGAATACTCTAAGCATTTATTATACTTTTCGCATTTAAATATAATTCCCAATGATCTTTGCTGGACACGTTCTAAATCATCTGCCAGATACTGTGGTAGAGAGTGATGGAAGACTGGCGCTGCATATTCCAATACGGGCCTAATACAAGTACAGTAAAATTGCACAATTTCTTTTTCTGGGACTTTTGCTCGTTTCAATTGTACTAAGCAATACAAACGTTTGTTCGCTTTCTTTATGGTATCCTCGATGTGCATGTTCCATTTCAAAGAGCTGGAAATAGTAAGACCCAGTAGTTTAGCATGTTTGACCACTTCAACCGGTTGATCGTTTACCATAACAGGATTAAATTGTTGCTTTTCCCGTTTGAAGTCAATTCTTAATTCTTTGCACTTGCTTGAATTTAATTGGAATCTATTTTGTAAAGACCACTCCTGGAGTTCAGAAGAACTAAGTTGGATATTACTATCCGTGCCTTTTTTAATAATCTCTGATGTAGAGGTGTCGTCGACGTATTTCCATGTATCTATGCCATCTAACCGGAGGTCATTTATCATTAATAAGAATATCCAAGGGCCTAGTTTTGTGCCTTGAGGCACTCCAGATGGTACTCTTTCCCAGTCTGAATAAACATTAGACAATTTGACCCTTTGGAATCTATTCATTAGCAAAGCTTTACCTACCTCGATCTATTTTTCTAAGGCGCTAAATTTTCGGCGAAAAATCAATATTTTGTGATTAGGGCCTGAACTTCATGCAGGTTACTTGGTTGGTTACCCATAGGTAAACGCATCAAATATTTCCATTGCCTTTTTTTTTGTAAATTATTAAATAACTTATGTCCTGGTTATATGAAGAACTTATTAACCCCTTTCAAAAATGTACATTGCCAAAACACACGAGGATCAACTAACAATAATCTAGTACTGCCTAGAGTAAGCACCAATTCTGGTAAACGCTCGTTTACTTTTCTTGCTTCTAGTGATTGCAACTCCTTAGACGTAGACATACGTAATGCATCAACACTTTCTCAATTTAGAAATGCCTATTTAAATATGGCAATATAAATTAAGTTTGTCTTATTTGAAAGAACATTTAAAATGATATATAAACTTCTTTTACAAATTACCGTATCTTGCTCGGTTTTCGAAATAAATCGACTTATTTTGATCAAAAGCAGCGTGCATTCCGCCATCTTGGACATACATTCGATATGCATACGTCACAAGTAGGGTAAAAAGCGAAATTTTTATATCTAGCAAACCACATGTCATTATCAATATGAAACTCAATTTTCCAAAGTTTTCTGTTATCAAACTTTTCAAAGAAATTTAGTCCCACATTAAGAAGTTTTAACAAAGTTTACCGTGCTTGTGACGTCATCAAAAACTACGTTAATTAGGTCAATTATAATACCAAGATGGCAAACTGCACACTATTTTTGGTCAAAATATTTCGAAAAACCAAGGAAGGTACGAAAAAGATGTAAAGGATCTTCATATATAACTTTAAAAGCTCTTTCAAATAAGACAAAGTTCATTTTTATTGCTATATCCCTTTAAATATGGCATTTTTAAAACTGGCTGAAACTATCGATTCAAAACCTAATTAACTAATAATAACAAATTAACTAATAATAACAAATAAATTTAAAATAATAACCAAATTAATAATAATAAAAAATTAATGACTAATTAACTACCCGTGTAACTTAGTTGCAGACTGTATATATAATGTAAATATTTCAGTAAATTGTAAATACCAATAGACCTTTCCCCTTTTAAGTGACATTTTGATCTAGACTAGCCTGGACAAAAATGTCATCACAGCTTGAAAGAGCATCACAAAATTAGTAATATTCCAACGTTTTGTTGCGAAATGTTGTAAAATGCGGATAATATGGCCTTGCGAAGTTTGCCGTTTTTCAGTCATTTTGTATTACAAATGGGAAATTGATAATCAGTTTGGTCATCTGATTATCAATTTCCCGTGCGTAATGCAAAATGACTGAAAAACGGCAAACTTCGCAAGGCTATATTATCCACATTTTACAACATTTCGCAACGAAACTTCGGAATATTACTAATTTTGCGATGCTCTTTCAAGCTGTGATGGAATTTTTGTCCAGACTTGTCTAGATCAAAATCTCACTTAAAAGGGGAAAGGTCTATTAGAATAGATAGTTCTTTATGATGTCAAGACTATAGTCTAAGAGATATATATACTAAGAGATATATATTATTCTTGGGTTTCACTAAGGCATTATGCAGTGAATCTGATGGGGGTCAACCTCAAATGTATTGATGCTTATGCTGTACTGGAGTGAGAAAATGATACAAAATTCCACGTATTTGCCACCAAACACAAGGCTAATACATAAAACGAATAATCGACTCACTCTGATAACTGTGTTTTGTTTTCGACTTGACCCCCCGTCACTTCTGTAACGTCATATGAAACCCAAGAATTGTGAGCAGTGTTTTATCAGATATAAAGATACGAGGCAAAGCTGAGTATCTTTAGGTCTGATGAAACACGCACTGCAAATGTTTTAATATAAAATTGCTTCAAAAACAATCGATCTAGTAAGTTCATTGGCGAAGTAATTTTCAAAAAATACGTTGTGTAAGTCGAGAAAATCAAAGTTAAAGTTTAAGTAAATCAAGGGAAATCTCTATCACATATAAAGATACGACACGCTTATGATTTTTCTTTGTGTTTTCCTCATGAATTATTAATGACTTTTTGAAGCATGTGTAAATAGTTTCAAAATGTTGCGTCTGGACAAAAATTACTTTGTGTAAATCAGCCCTCCAAAACCGTCAAAATTGAGGTCGGGAAAAAAATGCCGATCTAAATCTGACCTAGGCCGGCACGTCTCAGCATTTTCTAAAATTTGTTCCACATCTTGGAGCACCAGTAATCACACATTTATGAATCATTGAAATTGGAATATAACTGGAACGTTACCTCCAGCCGGAAAATTCAAAAGCCAAATTTTATTGACGTGCAAAATTTGAACTTCAGACACCCAAATTATATAAATACAATGCCCGTCAATTTTTAATTAAACCTTGCACCAAAGTGTGTTCAGTTAATCGAAAATCACGTGAAAATGGGCAGTGTCACATGTTCTGTTATGGCTGCCCTTACTCGAAAATCGGGGTAGTCAGAACAATTCAGAACAGTCTTATCACTGTCTTCTGTTCCATTCCATTAGTTTTCTAAAAGTCACAACCTTCTCCCTGGGTATGAGCTTGCATTAAGTCGTATTGAGTCCTACTTTATTATTTTACTCTGTCCAATGCCAGGCGAGTTTACTGGTCAAGGGGAGAGCGCTGGTGCTTAATGGGTTAATTCTATACGTCATCAGTCTACGTCACTACGGAGTACCATGAGAAGCACGCGCTCGCTTTCCTAGCCATTGTACACACGCTTTCTTAGCCGAAACATCAAGAAATTCTTCATTGTTGAGGATTTGTTAAACAGCAACTTCCAAGTCTATTCTTCTAGCAAGACTTATATCGCTTGGTTACGTGAGTAACGTAGACTAGTTTTGATAATTGTTTATCAGTTAGTCTTTTTCAGGCTTTATTTAGCATTCTAATTTTTCGTGTTACGTAAAATATTATAATGAGTTTCAACAGTGGTACGCCAACTTCTGAAAGCCCTATGAGTCTAGGTCAACCTGATCATACTAGTGGCCTAACAGGCCAAGACGGCGGTCAACCTGACCACGCTCATTCGCAAGATATGACCGATACTCGGCAAGCAAGGGACCAATATGATCCCATTGATGGTCGACCCGACCGCGACCCTCAACCTGACGAGAACATTGGCCAAACGTTGGCCGTGATTAAGGAGGGCATTAGCAATTTGGCTGCCGCTTTACATAGTTTTGTCAGCAACAAGGGTATGTCTTCCCGTACCACAAAATCTAAGAAACATAAACATCGGAGGGCTTCATCGGAGTCCGAGCCATCGGAGGATGACACGATGGATTTCCCGCCTAAACGGCTTCGCGTTGATGACGACGCTTTAAGTATTGCGCCGTCCGATAACGACATTCATGATTTTCTAAACGGGTCCGTCGCCACCGGCGAGAACACGGACGGTAATGCAGGGCAAACCAACAATGGTGACAATAATACCGTCAATGATACTCCTGCCTCCGTTGACCCAGCAGAAATCAAGTTTTTAGACTCACTTAATAATGCCCTCAACGAGGACGAACAAACTGGACCTAAGGTCGTACAAAATCTGGCAGATATCGCCATCAAACGATGGGGTAAACCGATTGCTAATGATAAGCTTAAGACATTATTGGCAAAACATGCCAAGCCAGAAAACTGCGCCGAACTGACGGTACCCAGGGTAAACCATAGATATCTTATATACACTAGATAGCGCATCTCATTTAGTAAAATTGAAGCCAAGAATATTCCAGCGGTTACCCCCATTTGAATAGATGGCGGCCATGTTGGTCGTTCCCACTTGCTAATAAACGCGTAAAAACAACAATAACTTTCATCATTTGAATAGTTTAAAAACGTATTTGGAATAGGGTTAACTTGATGTTTAAGTTCCCTGTTTAAGAAATAGAAAACATACGAATCTTCTCATTTCATGGGAACGACCTGAGACTGCAATCACGGCTTCAATTTTTGAATTGCAGAATAATTAGATGCACTATCTAGTGTATATAAGATATCTATGGGGTAAACCCTGAAATCTGGAGCAGCATGAACAACTCCAAAAAGAGCGCAAACATACGGTTGAGTAACATCCAACAAGTTATGCAACAAGGTACTTTTGGCATGTTGAAGGCATGCGATAGTTTACTGACAACGCCTACAGACACGAAAACCGCGCTTACGCATACAATAGATGCTTTGGCCCTTATGGGGCACGCGGTAGGTGCTTTGTCCCGTATACGAAGGGACAACATAAAGCCGACCCTAAATCCTGTTTATTACAGTCTGTGTAATCGGGCTGATGACCCTGTCCCACATTCGCCCCTACTCCTTGGCGATGATTTGGCCAAACAAGTGAGAGACGCCAAAGAAACGAGCAATATAAGCCAATCCCTTGGCGTTAGCCGAAACCGGCAACCTCGGAACAATCGCTCCACATATCGCTCCACGATAATCGTTTCGCCAATTCTCGTCAACCGAGAGGCAACCAATCTGAATATCGGTCGTACAACAAGCCTCATTTTTGGGGGAAGGGCCAGAAAAAACCGATGTTCAAAGCCAAACCCGGCAGGAAATCTTGAGCACTCTTGAAAAGATTAAATTATCGGTAAGTAAATTTCCCCTTGCTATTGAAAATTTAACGAACTACTTAAAATTTCGATGCGACAGTTTTAAGGCTGGCAATGTTAGAAACTCTCTGTCAGCCTGGCAAAATCTAACTTCTGACCCAGAAATTTTGAGCACTGTGACTGGCACCATCATCTAATTTGATACTCCGCCTATTAATAACTAAGGCGTCTCCTAAAATTCCTTTTTCGATCAGGGAATCTGATATTATAGATCAGGAAATTGCAAAAATGCTAGCTAA